TATGGGACTTTGAAATGCATTACATGTTTCGAGATAAAATACCGATTGATATTAACTCACGTAAAAAAAATGTCAATAAAGTATTATCCATTTCAAATTAAAAGAAGGGTGAGTATTTTTGGAATAATTTTCGATAGAAACTAGATATAGATCTGCGGTTTTCACCGTTTAAAAGAGAAAATGAAACTGCATCGAATCTTGAATACCAGACTTTTCTGACAAGTTTTCTTAGGACTACCCGCCAAGTTTCTAAAACAGAAAACATTGTGTAATGTAAATGTTTTGGAATATTATTTTTCAATAGTGCAACAGAATCGTTAACTAAAGTTCAATAATCTGGATAAGTTCGGCGTTAAAGGGCTTAGCCAATCAAGAGTTATTAATGTTTTACTAAACATTTTCGGCAGATTTTTAATAAAAAATTGACATTTTTTCTAATTTTTTCACGAAAAATCCACTTTCTAAACCTATTAATAAGCCTCGATTTTTTAAAAAACTAGGCGGGTGGCTTTGAGAAAACTTGTCAGAAAAGTCTGGTATTCAAGATTCGATGCAGTTTCATTTTCTCTTTTTAACGGTGAAAACCACAGATCTATATCTAATTCCTATCGAAAATTATTCCAAAAATACTCATCCTTCTTTTAATTTGAAATGGGTATTAGATTAGAATCGATTATTTTGTCAACGAAAATCGATCCAAATAGTTGTATTTTTAATTCAATTCCAATCTGATTTTTAGGCTTTAAAGCTAAATTTGCTTTGTTTCTAGTAGATTATAAAAAACAGCTTTAATTGATCAGACTTTATAAATGGCTTACAAGTCGGGTGAAAAAGACTGTACTCAGTTGGGCTGAGCCGAGCTGAGCGGGCACGAACAGTCTTGGTCCGCAGTATGAGTCGAGCTAAGTCATAAAATATGGTCCGATTTCGAGATCTGGTACTAACAATGGAGGCGTTTGTACTGTCAAGCGAATTGATTGATCTTATTCAAGTTAAATGATCACTTTCACCGAGAAACTAACGAATTTAAAATATGACGTGCTGATGGCGTGCCTAGACAAAGATCCTTTAATCTCAAGGTATGTGAAATTTAGGTATAAAAATGAATCAGGAAAGATTTTTTCCACTATTATAAGGACAAAACATAGTGTTGTTCGGGCCTACTATGAGGTTTGCGGGCACCCTCTTTCATATGGCCCGAACAACACCATGTTTTATCCTTATAATAGTAAAGTGAATTTTTCTAGTGGCTGATAGAAAACACCGTTTTCTATGAGTTACAGAAAAAAATTGACTCTACTATTATAAGGACGGAACATATTGTTATTCGGGCCAATCTGGAGGTTATCAAGGATGGTCTTTCATATGGTCCGAACAACACCATGTTTTGTTCTTATAATAGTAAAGTGAACTTTTTCTGTAGCTCATAGAAAACGGTGTTTTCTATCAGCCACTAGAAAAATTCACTTTACTATTATAAGGATAAAACATGGTGTTGTTCGGACCATATGAAAGAGGGTCCCCACAAACCTCATAGTAGGCCCGAACAACACTATGTTTTGTCCTTATAATAGTGGAAAAAATCTTTCCTGATTCATTTTTATACCTAAATTTCACATACCTTGAGATTAAAGGATCTTTGTCTAGGCACGCCATCAGCACGTCATATTTTAAATTCGTTAGTTTCTCGGTGAAAGTGATCATTTAACCTGAATAAGGTCAATCAATTCTCTTGACAGTACAAACACCTCCATTGTAAGCTCTAGAAGTTTCGTATGAAGCCTAGATTTCTTAATGTGGAAGATGTTTCAGAGTGTATAATCATACTGTGGTTGGCTACGCTACAAAGAAATGCCTCAGAAATTTGCTTACATCAAAGTGTCACAAACGTCATCGCATGGGCGCCAACGCTTGCCAATTCAACATTACTTCACCTGTGTTTTGATTTTGTGTTGTTTTTCTTATAAGTTAAAAAAACTCCACTGATGATAGCCAACAAAGTGCTCCATTCTCCATTTTCTTATCTAATATTTGCTATGCAAATTAACCCTTTGAGGACCATGCAACATACGTTGTCCCACCTGTTTTTAGTAAAGAAAATATTTGCTTTACATAAAGCTGTTATTATTTGTAAAGTAATAGGCCACCTCATCTGCCAGCTTGTGCATATTTTTTCTATCTTTCTTTCTGTCATATAAATCCTTTTCCGACTTTCTTCTTTCATTCTGCTACCATAAACTGACGTCATGTTCTCACCCTCTCTTTTCTTGACGTGTTATCATAAAGTCTTAATGTAACTATTTTGGGCCAAATACAGTAACTTGATTGAAGAACCATTTGTCGATTGAAAAAAATCGGTCCTCAAAGGGCTAAGGCCGCTATTGAAGTATGCTGTGTACAAAGACATCGACTTTCTACGAAACAAGAACAAAATTATGTGCGTCAACCAACTTTTCTTCTCTGTTTGTGAATGACTGATGAGACACAGAAGACATACTGTATCATTGCCAAAGAATAAGACAAGGGTTCATGGTGTTTTGTCGAGCCTTTTTGAACACATAAAATATTCATTTGGATTTCTTGACCGATTGGTGATCGAACAGTGCAGAGATGAAACTTTTGGAAAGTTCATTTCTCAAAACTATACGAATCTTTGTGAAGAGCCCATAAGGATACCGGACTCACGAGGGAGGGTCCCAACTGATCCACTCCGTTTTTGATATTTCGCCCTTATGTAAGATTCTATGAGACTAGCAAAAATCTCAAAGGATAACAGCCGATAGGTCTTCCTTCTCGAGTTATGATCATTTTACTGCGTTTATCACCCATGAGTGATTGCACGATAGGGACGACCCAAAAGACGGACCATGTGCACAATCAGTGTCATGAATTTCAATGAAAACTTTGCCTGTATGTAGCCCTAAGTGAGCTGTGAAAACTCCTAAAATTTTAGCTTCTAAAACCGTTTTCTTGTAGAAATTTTGAACCTAGAAGAGAAGCACTCTCCTGCAAAGAAACGAGGATGCTAGGTGTAGTACCTATGCATTGTATATTTCACCATTTTTCAATAATAATGTTTTCTATCATGAAACTTTGACGATATATACTACTATAGGTACTCTACATACTGACACACCCAAAACCTTTTTTTCGACGTGTCAAGCGCTATAGAGAGGTTTCATAGGTCCTAGATATACCCCTTATCTTGTGGTCAGGCTTTCTATCGCTTATGAGCGACTCAGGAGCTTCCGCTTTGGAACTAAATACCACTGCCCTATGGTTATTAATTAAAATTGGCAGACTATTGGTTTTTCGATTTTCACCCTATAAAGTTTCTCTGCTAGTATATGTATATGAGCATTTCCGGTAAGCTACGAAGGATTCCTACAAAAGCTGCTCCATAGAAGGTTGTCAATTTGACTAGTTTTGTATGTGTTCTGTAGGGGCAAGCGTTTGATAAATTTCTACACAAGCCATTCAAAAAAAAAATGTTCCATTGTCGAGATATTTAAATTTCTATGAGAGCACTACCGATAAGAAAACACATCTTTCAGTAAATGAAAGAATTCAATGCTAATAGCATTCAAAAAAAAACAAAAAATTCTAAACAGAAAAAAAGTAATGGGGGTAAAAATTTCGATGCTAAAATTTATAGAAAAATTTACACCCATACACTGAAAAAAAAATGGTACCATACCGAACCAAAAGAGGTACTTTGAACGAAAAAAAGGTTTCGTACGTCGTACGGAACCTAAAAAGGTTTCGAATTCGTTGCAATTCTCTGAACCATTTTAGGTTCGGTACAGACCACTTCGAAAAACTTGAAAAAGTGTCCTGAGTGAATGACAATCAATTTTAGTCACTGAAAGTTTTGTACGAAACCTTTTGAGGGTTTCGTATTGTCTTCCTAAATGGTTCGGTATGCTACAAAAAAATTTGTATGATTACGGAACCATTTAGGAAGACAATACGAAACCCTCAAAAGGTTTCGTACAAAACATTCGGTGACTAAAATTGATTGTCATTGACTCAGGACACTTTTTCAAGTTTTTCGAAGTGATCTGTACGGAACCTAAAATGGTTCAGAGAATTGCAACGAATTCGAAACCTTTTTAGGTTCCGTACGATGTACGAAACCCTTTTTTCGTTCAAAGTACCTTTTTTGGTTCGGTATGGTACCATTTCTTTTTTCAGTGTATTTCTGGGAAGGTATGGGGGTAATGGGAGTAAAATTTTCGATGCTAAAATCTATATAAAAATTTACACCCATATTTCTGAGAAGGTACGGGGGTAATGGGGGTAAAATTTTCAATGTTAAAATTTATATAAAATTATACCCCCCTGTTTCTGGGAAGGTATGGAGGTAATGGGTAGTGGCGTAACCAGGGGTGGGCATGCCCGGGCGGCGCCCGGGCACCGAAAAAATTTTAAAATCTAATAATTACCATTGAAATGTTTGTTTTCTTTTTATTGTATAGACAATAGCTGTGAAAAAACAGTTAGTGATACCTGTAGGATAAAGTCTAGACACACTGATGAGTAAGAAATATCAGTACTTTGTTTACTTTTCGTTTCTGTATATGTATCAGATGATAAAATAACCAATTGATTACTTTATACATAGCGTATCAAAATCAGTTTATTTAATTTTGAAATGGAGAAAATTTCTAAAGAACCTAAACGTGAAACTATTCAGTCGTTTTTTAGTTTACAGACTACAAAAAAAGAAAAGATATGATGCTTCTTTAATTTCAAGTGAGTTAATAGTCAATCAAACAGTTTAGATTAACACATCATAGTCTACAGGTGAACAACAACAAGAACCAACTTCTTCATCTTCTTCAAATGATCAACAACGAAGACAGATTCATTCATTTTCTACAAGTGAAAAACAATCATCATTTTCATCGTTTTCAACTAATGAACAACGTGAACAAATTCATTCACTTCCTATAGGTGAACAACAGAAATCATCTCCAAATAATTAACAACGAAGACAAATGCATTCATTTTTTTTTACAAGTGAACTACAGGAATTATCTTCTTCATCTTCTTCAAATAAACAACTACGAGAAAAAATTCATTCATCTTCATCAGAATATTCTCTATTTATTTCTTCATCATCAAATACACCAGTTTCAAATATTACTGATATCAGTCGTTCATCTGATGAATTGCTCACACAACCAAAACTTGATTCTTATCCATTAAATAAAGAAAAAAGATCTTTTCGTAGTCAATGGTTTTCACAATTTAGTTGGTTAGAATATTCAGAACAAACAGATTCAGTCTATTGTTATTGTTGCAGGTACTTTGGTACTGGAATAAATTTAAATAATCGATTAATCAATTTTTGTCTAATACAGGGTGGCCCAAAAGTCACGCACCAAACAAAAAATTGAATATCTCCATTGGGGCTGGAGCAAATGAGCTGATTTTTTCGTCAATGATAGAGACATGTTTAAGCTTTATATCCGCATGGACATGTCTAGACAGACCCTCTATCAAGTAACCATATTCACTTTAAGAAAAGAAATTTACTTTTCATATATCAAAAAAAATCAATATACTATAAAGAAATTACATTTTATTCAGAAAAAATGTAATCGGTTAACTGAACTTGCAAATAGCACGTGTTGTATGTTCATATATATTCTCTTTTCATATTTTCTCCTTCTGTTCTCCTATAACTCACGTTGATATCTTACACGATCCACGTTTTCTATCATATTTTATTTTGAACTCGTATGTACCCATGTCCTTTGAATCGGCTAAAAATTGCCGATTAATCCCGATTCATCGAAACGATAATCGTGAGCTGAATCGCGATAGAATCGCCGATTATTCCCGATTATTTCAGCGATTTTTACGATAAATCGTGATTTTATGCAAGATTTAACCGTCTGTTTACTGATATTTTCTACTATTTCATCGGTTCTTTTGAAGACACATATTTGGATTTTTTCTTGAAATTAATTCAATTTTTTTTTGTTCTCAAGATCCAAGCCGATAAGATTGTGCTATCTGTCCGATCTCGAGCTGGTCCGATTCTTATCAGACCGCTTCAGTGTAGTCCTCTCCAGATCATGGATCGGGATTGGCATTTCCTTGATTAAAAATAACCAAGAAATAATTTATCAGAAAAGTATATTTCGAAAACGTATTTGTTAGGCATTGAACGGCGTTGTTTATATATCCGTGTGTGTTCATAACAAAACGGTGAATGAATAATTGTCATGATTTATCAATGATTTATGTAAGGGAAGTTAGCGCCATATTCGAGTTTTTTGCGAAACGATTTGTCCCATCAATTGTGCCACTTAGGAAATCTAGTGTGCCAGATAGAACTCGTCGAGCTCTATCTAAAGGTATATTCAGAAATTGCGAACACACGAAAACAAGAGAAATAAGCATCAATATATGATTTATCACCATTGGACAAAATACTCACATTTCATATTTCCAAAAATTATTCACTACCTCACGTGTGCCAGTGGTAAAAATCATATCATTAGATGCAGCTCGATGAGTTCTATCTGATGATGGCTTGAAATAGCTTATTTTCAAAACTCTTGAGCCCAAAGTCCCAAAAAACCTGTCAAAATCGGGAATTTACTAGTATTTTGTCTGACGATTCGTCTGATTTTGTGTGCCAACGATAAAATCTGGTGAATTCGATGTAGATTAACGAGCTCTATCGATTGATATGCTACTTGATATATATTAAAGTACTAAACGAGGAATGATACTCTCAAGTTTAGTCATGGTACATTGATCATGTATGTTCTCTTTCTTAGATTCGATCCCATACATGTGCCACTGGAAAACATTATGCAAGTCGATGTAATATATTAAGACCTATCGATTGACGTATAATTTTGTATAAAAAATAAGAATACATGCGAGATAGTCCTGAAAAGATGCTGATGTTACACAATAATTAAATCTTTTGTTTTGTTTGACAATTCACTAGAGTATATGTGCCAAGAAACATTAATATATCAATCGATGGAGCTTGGTAAGCTCTATCGAATCGTGTACCATGTGTGATGATTGACATGAGCATACGAAGAAAAATTCGAAAAATATTAATTATTACTCATAAAAAATTATTATTTCACTGATCGAT